TACCCCCCCCCCCCTCAAAATTTAGATGCAGTTTGCAGTGAATGCAACAAAAAAATTGTTTAGTAATTACAGACTTATATAACGAAATAACTAAACAGAAAGAACGTACATATATGTCGCTAGGAAGTACTATGGAGGACATTAAAAACAACAGAAAGAAAAGGGGATTAATAAACATAATAGGTAACACCATGCATACGTTATTTGGCGTATGTGATGACAAGTGCACTAAGAAAACACAAGAAGCTATACAAAAAACGGAAGAATCAGGAACTAATATAATGGCAGCTCAAACTACTGTAGTAAAATCAACAATAAGAAGTATTGGTAACACAATAAATCAAACCGAACAATTATACAATAATATTACGGAAAAGGAACAAAAACTAAACGAAAAAATGTCAAAAATACAAAACAAAACAAATGATATATTAGATTTACTAATGCAAAATGAAATACATAATTTATATACAATAATTATTAATCAATATTCCTACGAAACAGAAATATTGGGACAAATAGTAACTGCCGCTAGAGAAGGTATGATACATCCAAGTCTTATGACACCGCAAGAACTAGCATCAACATTAAAAGCAATAGAACAAAATATAAAGAAAATATACAGTATTCCGATGGGAACAAAGAGATATGAAATAAATGAATTTCAAAAAATTACAAAAATAAAAATTTACTATTCGAACGACAGATTAGTATTCGATATAGTAATACCACTGATTACTGACACTGAACTTAGATTATACAGGTTAACACCAGTACCAATGCGTCATAACCAAGATAATTCTAGTGGATGGTACATGATGGACATTACTTATAATAATATTGCTGTAACCAAAGGTTATAAAAGGTTTACTACATACACAGATCAACAATTAAACAAATGTAAAGAAACATCGATATACAAAATATGTAATACACCACAACCTATACAGGACAACAATGAACGCCAACCATGCGATGTACAAAACTTTATAAAAGCTGACACGTATGCTAATCCTGAGATATGTACAGTAAAGAAAATTAATTTAAAAAGAAGCATATACCAAAAATTAAAAAGGAAAAATACATGGATTCACGCAGGAAAAGAGACTTTAACTATAAGTTGCGCGAACCCATTCATAATACAAACAAATGAAGCAGGAGAAATAGCTATAAACGACATTAGTTGTCAAGTATATGCACGGGACGCGGTATTAACTGCCACGGAAGAAATCCAAATTACAAAATATAAAGACTTTACACCTGTAACTAACATGAGTAATATTTTAGAAAAAATACCTGAACATATACACAAATTCGAAACAGATGAAAAATGGGAAAAGGGACTAGCTATGCAATTCACAGATTTACACGATGCATCCAAATCCTTAGACGAAGTACAACAAATGATTAACCAAGAACCAATATAATTATACATAAGTAATAATAAAAAATATTAATTGTATATAATCTTATTATTATATTTCATTTTGAGAAAATTAATATGTTAGGTATTTAATATTTTAGATGCGCAGTTACAAAGGCAATATTGCATAGAAAAGATGTGTCTCATAATGAAAAAGTGATTATTCTAAAAAAAGATATTTTAAATAGTCCGTTTCATGTATTTGGTAGCCATTCTGAATGCTCAAGGTAAATTATTTTATAACCAACATCATCACTTATTATTCTATGATTATTACAGTTGTTATTTTTATTTAGTTATTTTTGCACTGGTCCAAAAGACAACGAAATTGATTTAGTTCCTCAAATGGAATCTTGTGGATTATGGGCAGATATATCAGGAGCCAAAAATATTGTTGCCCATCATACTCAAAGCTTAATTTACAATGTTAACAATAATGCTGTAGAAGGGTTTAATAGCGTAGTAGCGAAATTTGTTGGTGGAAAAAGGGTGAATTTTTCTTTACGAGGTAAAAGTTTAAATTTTGAGTAAAAGATATTTATACATATCTAAATAATATCACATGAAATTAATTTGTATTTTAGGATCATACAGTGCAAGATGTAATGCTGCAGTTTCATCATTTAATTTTGGTCCAAAATATTTAAATAGTTTTCATAAAAAAGTTACAAATGTAAGTCCTGGAATATACACTAAAAAATTTATAAGTAAAATAGATAAAAACCAGCATAGCAGAGTTGATCGACGTTTAAATTTTGATAAATCCAGTTATAAATTATTTAATTGAACCAACTATATAGGTACCTACCTAATAATATAAAGTGTTAAGAATCTACTGTTATGTTATTTAATAATAGAAAATTTGAGAAAAAACAAAAATGTATTGCTGGACCAGATGAAGATTATGGAGCTGTAGACATTGGAATAGATATAATTGATATGTCACCCGAAGAATATGACGCCAAAAAAATTGCATTTTTATAAAAAATTGATTTATCCGTTGATGAAATAATAAAAATAGAAAGAAATACCGTTGGACAACAAGAGAATGACGATTGGAAAAAATGTAGAAAACAACGACTTACGGCATCTAATTTTGGAAAAGTTTGTAAATTAAGACCCACCACTTCGCGAGCGAATACCATAAAATATATTTTATATGATATTTTCCAAGGAAGTTCTTCAACTAGGTTTGTGGAGTATTTATATTTTATTTATTTCACAATAGTAATTGTTTAGGTATATAATTATTTTTATAAAATGTTTTACTAAGGTATGGTATTGAAAACGAATCAATAGCCCGAAATGCATTCCAAAAAACCTTAAAGGAGAAAATCGAACCAGCGGGATTGTTTATTCATAAGAATAAACCCTATCTCGCAACAAGTCCTGGCGGGTTAATAGGTAAAGACTGTATCTTGGAGATAAAGTGTCCTCCGAGCATTAAAGAATATACTCCAGAAGAGGCAGTACATAAAGAAAAAATTAAGTACATGATATCCGATGGTCAAAAAATTACTTTAAAAAAAACTGATAATTATTATTATCAAGTTCAAGCACAACTCAACATTACAGAAAGGAACTACTGTTATTTTGTTGTGTGGACTCCAAAAGGTAATAGTATATGACAATTGTTTTCGTAGAATCTAAAATATTTTAATTTATACGTTCTATTTTAAACGTGTTTTTTTTAGGTTTTATAGTAGACAAGATATCCAAAGATGTCAAATTTTGGACATCAAAAATTGAACCATTTGTCACAACATTTTACCGGTGCACACGAATTGAGTACCAAGTCGGGTAAACGAACCGTTTTGAACGAATTGCGTCCCGGACGCAATTCATGTTACTTTTTGCCTTAACATATTTTTATATACTAACTTAAGCTTTTTTAGCAAAATAAATATATTTTATGTAGATGGAACTTTTGAATACTGTACTAAATTTTTCTGTCAGTTATTCACAATTCATGGATTACATGATGGTTATTATATTCCATCTTGTATTTTTTTTATTAAAAGATAAACAAGCATTGAGTTGCTTTGAGGCATTTAAAGCAATTAATCACGATATAAGCAAAGTAAATCCCTCATTTTCCCCAAAAATAATTTACGTGGATTTTGAAAAGGCAATACAGAATGTAGTTAATAAAACATGGCCAAAAACCTTAGTAAGAGGTTGTCGATTTCATCTCGGCCAGTCTTGGTGGAGAAAAATACAAGGACTAGGCTTGGCTTCAGACTATATCCAAAATAATGAAATAGGCAAGTACTTAGCATTGGCATTTGGATTATCTTTCCTAGAACCACAAGAAGTTGGAGATTTTTTTTTCGTTTGAAATGTTTGCTATTCAACCAGATGAACACAAAATTACAGAGTTTGCTAATTATTTAGTAGATACATACATCCATGAAAATTCAATATTTCCTCCAGACTTATGGGCAGAAAAAAGTTCAAGCTCACAAAGAACCACCAACGTTTGCGAATCTTTGCATTCAAAATTTAACAAATTTTTCGATTCTCCTCATCCAAATATATACACATTTTTAGAAATTTTAAAAAATATGCAAAACTGATACAACAATATTGATAAGAAGTAGTCTAGAAAAACGACGAGTATACCAAGAAAACCAATAAGGGAAAGAATACAATTTATAGAAAAATAAAATAAATCAATTAAATAATAATGAAATCACAATTAAAGATTATGTTAACATATTAGCCAATAAATATAAATACAGACAAAATTAAATTAATACTTGTGATATTAAAAATGACTTATAACCTATGATATTATGATTTTAAAATTTAATTCTTTTTAAAAATATGTGAATACTTATGAACATTTATACCTATGATATTATGATTTTACAATTTAAATTTTTTAAAAATATGTGAATATATGACGATTTATTATAATATATGTTATTATGTTTTCACTTTAAGAACCACTCACCTGTAGATAAAAAGGTAACATGAATTGCGTCCGGGACGCAATTCGTTCAAAAAGGTTCGTTTACCCGTTTTGGTACGCAATTCGTGTGCGCCCCATTTTACATGGAATCGTTGCTGCCTGAAATCATTGACCCAAGATTTGATAGAGGACTACCAATAAGGTCCGGTATACCGACAAAGAAGCTCTAACTAAATAAAGGTGTATAGTGTATTTATGTAGCAATATAATATAATACAAACAATTGTTTTTTTAAAGACTTACTGTTGTCAATATATAATTTATAACGATTATGTTTTTGAATAAAATTATGAACTAGGTACATTATACTTTATGTAAGTACGATGTTGTATTTACCTACCTGTTTTGTCAATACAATGCGCGCTGTGACGGTAATAAAATTATTGTTGAACTGTTTACTGATAAAACGAAATAATTACACGTTCGGGGTACTTACGCACACTAATGATCAGTTACTACACACACACTCACACAGCAATTCCTAATGAATATAACATATTGCCTATAAACAACCCCTTAAAAACGGTTCACTTTCAACCGCCTTAAAATAAAGGATTAATAAATAACTGGAAGCAACCAATATATTACAACTTCGATGAGCGGATGACTAAAGAAATATTAAATAAAATAATAGAAGAGTTAAGTGAAGTTGGTTTCAATGTAGTTGCAATAGTCAGTGACAGTGGTTCTACAAATGTAGGCTTATGGAAAAGTTTAGACATATCTATTAACAATACGTCATTTGAACATCCAAAACTAAATTCCAGAATTCATGTTTTTGCTGATGTTCCGCACTTATTGAAATTGGCTAGAAACCATTTACTCGATAGGTAAGAACTTCTGAATTCTGTAAAAGTAATATTTGTTTTAAGAAAATAATTCATATTTATAATAATTTAAGTGGGTTCATACTTCCAAATGGTAAATTCATCGGAAAAAATATACTCCACGAAGTTCTGAATATTAACTATGGTAAAGATTAGAAATTTGCTCATAAGCTATCTGAGCGTCATCTTTTGTAGAAGGATCAGGCCGCATAAACGTGAGATTAGCAGCAAATGTATTTTCTAATTCAGTTTCAAAAGCCACGGTGAAAAAAACTGTCTAGATAAATATAACTGGAAAGAGGTGATTATATAAAAATAAAATGCCTGTGCATAATTATTAATATTAATATTCATTTTTATATAATATAATGTAATTTAGGCTTCGGAAATTATACAATTATTTAATGACTGGGGGTCTATTTTTGAATTCGCACTAATCATTGGCGAATACTTTAGTACACTAATCAATTAGACGATGATTTTAGTGCACTAACTAAAATTGGTATTTTTGAATTTCATTTTTTTTCTATCTAATATTCTTAAACTAATCGCACATTGTCTAATCTTTTGTTTTTTAAACTAATAATTATTAGTGTGATATCTAAACTTATATTGGCTCTACTGTAAATTGAATTAGTTTTATCATTCATAAATGATAAAAATATAATATAAAATACGATGATAATAAGATATTATTTTTTCCTTATCTACCTATTACTTTTAAAGTTTTTCTTCGGCCTTTGCGTTTTTGTGTTTTTCTAAGTTTTTGAGTTTTCTCCTTAGAATTTTATAGAGTCAAGTCGATAGTTACATAGTGCTATTTTCTACTTTTTCCATTTTTTTTTTCACGGTTATGGAAACAAAAAAAAAATCCAAAAGTGTAACTTATGAGCAAAAACAATTACTAATTGATTTTGTTCATAAGCATCCAAAATTAAATACGAAGAAATTTGGACCTTCGTTTACCATGAAGGATTCACAGTTGTTGTGGCAAAATATTTCAAATACTCTGAATGAAACAATTGGACCAAAAAAAACTTGGGTTGAATGGAGAAAGGTAATAATAAGATCAATAATTGTATAGGTATTAATTTTCAATTATTTACAAAAAAATAAAAAGATATAATTTAATATTTAGTGTTTTCAATACTTAAAATCGGCTGCAAAACAAAAAGTCCCTTCAAAATCTCATTATAATAAGACTGGCGGAGGTGAAAAACAAGACGAAGAGTGCATTGACCAAGCTGATGAACAACTATTGGATATTTTAGGGCATACTGCTATTCATGGTCATGAAACTGTCCCTGAAAGTACTTGTACTGTTTCATTTTTGCATGACAACACTGATAACGTTTTAGCTACAGAGGATACAGAGGAGTTGGTTTTAGTGAATATGCATGCAGAAGAAGATAGTAATAATTTAGATGTCATTACTATTTCCGTAAATTCAAATAACAGCAATGAGGAAGATAGTACTGAAAAAGCAAAGTAAATATTTATATTTATTATTATTTTTATGTAGGTTACTATTTTTTAAATTCAATTAATGTATTATTTAAAATATTCAATTAGTGAATCTGATCCGTTTGACCAATTTATTGGTACTGTTAAAAAAAGAAGTTTGGATAACCCTTTTGAAGAGGATTTACAAAATACACACAATAAGTAAGACGTTTTTATGAGTATTATTCCAAACATTTATAATTATATTTTTATATTTATTACATAACTAGGTATACTACCCACAGTCCACATCTAGTGATAATACATTTAATAAGTTATAGTTCAACTATGAGTCAACAAGCCATAGTCAAATGTTCAGGGAGTATAATTGTGTTGATTGTTGCTTCTTTTTATTTAACTTTTTTCCTTTCTATTTGTTCATCTTTTTATCTTATAGTTATATTACTTTTCTTTTAAGTCTATCCCAAATTTTATAATTTCCCTTTGTCCAATAATTCCAAAAAATAGCTTTCAAAATATTTGCTTAAATATTTCAAAATACAATGGTTCTTTCTTTGCTTTCCTACTGCATGATATTCTGTTATTTGAATGGTGCATGTTTTACTAACTTTAATAGGTATTTAACTATTTAATACTATTTAATATTACATTAACCATTTATTTACTTTTCTAGATCTATTTTTATAATTTCCATCCATCCATCTTTTTATCTTATAGTTCTATTACTTTTCTTTTAATTTTATTCTAACTTTTATAATTTCCCTTTGTCCAGTAAGTCCAAAAAAGAACTTTTGAAATATTTGTTCAAATATTTCAAAGTACAATGGTTCTTCTTTTTTGCTTTCTTATTGCATGATATTCTGCTATATATTCTGTTATTTGAATGGTGCATGTTATACTAACTATAATAGGTATTTAACTATTTAATACTATTTAATATTACATTAACCATTTATTTACTTTTCTAGATCTATTTTTATAATTTCCATCCATCCATCTTTTTATCTTATAGTTCTATTACTTTTCTTTTAATTTTATTCTAACTTTTATAATTTCCCTTTGTCCAGTAAGTCCAAAAAGGAGCTTTTGAAATATTTGTTAAAATATTTCAAAGTACAATGGTTCTTCTTTTTTGCTTTCTTATTGCATGATATTCTGCTATATATTATATTAATGGTGCATGTTTTAGTAACTATAATATTTTAAATTATATTAACCATGAATTTACTTTTCTAGATCTTTTGGTAAGAAATCAAAATTAACAAATGCCGCTCTAGCTACTGAAAAGTTAAGTGATACAACTACCCGAATGTTAGAGCTAAAGGCCATGTATTATAAAGAAAAGTTAAAACTTAAGTTGAGAGATGTTGAGGCCAAAGAAGCTATAGCAGAGCAGTTAAATATTTTAATATCAAATCTAAATAAATAAATAAATAAATAAAATACTCATTTCAACATCCTTTGTATATCCTAATTCCTATTTAATTTTTTTTCCCTCATAGTTGACACGTTCCTAATTGTTACTAAGTTACTTACTTTAATTTTCTAATTATTCCTATTTAACTTTCTAAAGGTAAGTATTGTAGTAAACAAAATAATACCTATGGAATCAAATAAAAAATAACAAGTCACACTGGTACAAAATTAATATAATAAAAATGAACTAATTATGTAACTACATAAAATAATTATTGATTATTTGATGTTGCATCCTACGACCAGCTAATAAGTCTGGATTCACTTGTTGAAAATTCAAATGATTTTCTTCAACATAATGCATACCCAAATCCACATCATTTGTTATCTCATCAATTGGTTCTGGTACATTATTTGTAATACATATATTATGGAGTGTAACACATGCGTTAATGATTTTTGATGCTTTGATCGGATGATAATGCAGTACTTTATGCTGTATATGACACCTACATAAAATATAAAAATATTATAGTATTATTAATTATTATGCATCAATCATGTATATTAAATAATATATGTAACTGTTTTCGAATCAATTTGCTAAATCCTAAAAAAAAAAGTTAACCGTAAATCCACAATAACTTTTATGAACGTCTAGATCAATATTTCCCAACCTGGGAGGCTTGTACACATTACTATGGAGGTTAGTTATTATTGTTTAGTTATTACTATCGTTTTTTACCACCACGACGTCCGTAAAATATTATTTTTTTAATTTGTGAGGTGAGATTTTTAAAAATCTACAAAGAGGGCGTAAAATAAGAGGTTGGGAACCACTGGTCTAGACTTAAAATGTAGCTATCTGATGTACCTATCTATACAATTTGAAAATTTAATATTTATATAGACATATTTATAATATTTTAGTAAGTACCTACTGGCTACTACCTACTATAATACGTATACCACGTTAATACCATTACCTATAGCTATTACTTATTACTTATTAGAAGTTTATTATTTATAAAATCCATTAAGGGTCGCCACTTTGTGGATGCCGGATGGGTAACATTTTTTTATTATTAGGTTAATAATTTTAATACATTAAGTTTTAACATATGAATTTAAACAGTTAAAAACTTAAAAGTTAAAATCGTTACATTTTCATCCTCCCCATCTCTACCCATGGGCCACTACTACAGGTACTGATAAAAACTTACCGAAATCGCATTTTGAGTAACCCATTAGTACGTTCAATCAACGACCTAGTTTTAGAGAACCATTCATTATAACGTCCTTCTGGGGTATTTGGTTCCGGATTATTTAACGGTGTCATCAACCAAGGTCTCAATGCATACCCAGAATCTCCTAACATGATGATTAAAATAGATTTTTTAAATTTTGTTATAATAATATTATCTTTTTGATTAAATTAAATAAATCATCACTATACCTACCCAATAAATAATAAGAACGCATTCCTTCATTATTCATTTGTTCCATAATCGTAGAGATAGCACTACGACGCCAAATGTAGCTGTCATGAGTACTACCAGGGTACTTAGCATTTACGTTCATTATACCCATATTTAAATCGCATATCTAGTAATATACAAAGTATATTTAGGAAATAAGAAAATATAATTTAATATTTTTAATTATTTTACCAGTTGTACGTTTATGGAATGGTAATTTTTCCTGTTCACATATATGTGTTCTGGGTAAGGCCCATCAGCTTTAGGGGGTACTATTGCAACGTGAGTGCAATCAATAATGCCAATAACACCCGGGATTCCATATACATTGGTGAACCTTATTGTATTTTGACAGTGTTACAGATGTGATCAGCGATTATATAAATATATAATTTAACATAATGTTAACTTACTCCTGTCTAATATGATTTAATTCATTCAGTGACGAAGGAAACCTTACGTGCTTATTAAAAATATTAGGCATGTTCAATGTATCACATACTTCGGCTATGCATTTACTGACTGATGGTTGACTCAAAGATGATGCTCGATTTTCCCCAATGTCTTGCTGATATGAGCCACTTGCAAAAAATCGTAAAGCCGTTAAAACCTAAATAGTGTAATACATGTTTAAAAATGTACGTAGGTATCTTTTAGGCTACCTTAATAATAATATAATATTTGACTTACTTTACGCTCAATACTTATAGCAGATTTTCTAGAGGGGGGTTCAAGGTTTGGACGCAGTTCATCTATTAATATATTGACAAGACCTTTTGTAAGTCTGAATTTTTTGACAAACGCTCTTTCAGTCAATACTACAAAATACGATTTTTTATTCATAGGTAGTAAAAGTTCTTAAATATTATTAATATTATGTCACTAGGTAAATTGTTAAGTGAATTTTAACTTAACGTACTATCGAATGCATTCTCCGCCTCATAAAACCGAATAGTATCTACATCATCTTGTCTTTCCTCCATAATTTCCAAATTGTTAATAGCTTAGATGTAATTCAAATTAAGAAAATGTTCCATTTTTGAATAAATTGAAAGTTAAAGTAATAGTTTAAAGTTATAAAAAAAAAAATGTCTCAATGATAACAGTAATTAGTATGCTAAAATCACGATTAGTGTGGTAGATACCTACTCTAATAAGTTAATCTAAAACTTTAGTGCACTAATACAAAAGTTTTAGTGTACCAATATTCAAAAATACGGTTTTTTGGTCTTGCACTAATAGTTGAACTAAAACATGATATTTTAGTGTACTAATATGATTGGCATGCTAATATGAAATTCAAAAATAGACCCCCAGGTTTGATATTTTCAATACCCAGCATCAATTTGACAGAGGCGTTGCAAGTTATGGAATAAACATAGAAGATCAAGACATTTTAATAGATAAAATGAGTGAATTTATTAGTAGCATGAGAGTAAATTGAAAAAAATCATTACTTACTTTCCAAAAAGGCTAGTACCTATTGAATACTTTTAAAAATAAATTAGGTGTACTTTAAATAAAATATTGTATTATGCTTTTATCTTGCTTTTTAGGTATTTTAATGTCAAATAAGTCATTGAAAAATGTATTAAATGATTTAAAAAACATTTATGGCATAGAATATATAATAGGAAGGAAACTAAACCAAGATGTGTTGGAAAATCTGTTTAGTTTCCTAAAAGGAATGTGTGGGTATGCAAGTAGTAACATTACTGCTTTAGATTTCAAATACAGGTTAGGTATCTAATTAAATTGATGATCTAAGTTTTAAAATTATAATATATACTATATCCGTATACCAATTATTAGCAATTAGATTATATTGTTTTATTTCAGCTTACGATGGTACATCTTGGGAAAACATTCTGACACCATATTTACTGAAGTTGGTCTCGAAACTAGCCTTTTGGATAGCAACGACTGCTTGGTTAGTTAAATGTTTAAAAGTTTAGATGTGTTAGAAACTAGTGTGACAGAATCCAATAATAATATTGTCCACATTGAATCTAAAAATGAGGTGATGACAGGATCTATTTCAAAAACAAATTTTGATCTTTTAGAAAAGTTTGAAGTAAATAAAAAAGATTACCAATTATGACTTATTACCTTATACATAACTTGGTACTTATTGACCTTAAACTATTATGCATGTGTTAACAGCTAGAAACTATAGAGCCATTTGACGATTTGGAAGAAGAATGTGTTGAGTATGTAGGCGGATATATTGCAAATCGGTTTTATGTCAAATATCCATATCTAACTAAAGAATCAAGTGATTCTAAAGTTATTGACTAAATTCATTTCAAAAGGAAACCTTAAAATACCTTCTGATGATCTTCTACATGCCATGAAAATAGTTGAAATAGACTTTAGGAAGCTTCACGGAAACTACTTAAATAAAGAACCAAATATTATTAAACAATTAAGTAAACATATTATGAAAAAAATCAATAATATACATGAGAAAGTTATTAGGTGTATTGTACGTACTAGAACATATATTAGAATAAATAATTTAAATAAAGATGTTTTAAACAACAAGCATACAAATAAAACAATACAAAAATTTACGAAATAAATAAAAACTGAATAACATTATTACTTATTAAGCTCAATAGTTTTAGTTATTTAATTACTTATTTATATATGAATGGTTAAAAAAAAAAATTGTTTTAAAATTCCAAAAATTTAAATATTTGATACCTATTTAAACCTAAAATGTAAAAACAAAATTTTTGGAAAAATTTTGTCTTTATTATTACATTGATATCCAGTATACACTGAATACTGATGTCTGATATAGTGATATCTTTAAACTCTGATAATAGGCGAAAGCCGGACGCCATTTTGATTAAAATATCCGTATCACGGCGATTGCTGACATAACTATCTTATTTGTCATGGAATAAACCTCGTCGTCCGCGGTTGTCGGCCTCAGCCGTCGTATTCCCTCCATCTCCATGTGTCTACAGTTCGACCGACGACGGACAACGAAATCCAGCGGCGGCGCTACCGACGCGCTGCCGACGTCTGCCGTTGACGTCGCCGTTTGGTGGGGGATGCGCGGAACCGACGAGTTTTTGATTTCTCGAGGCATGATCTCTCGTGGGACAGAGTATCCACAGAGTGTTTTGCTACCATTGAAACTGTTGCATATTCAGCATTTACATTGTATACTAAACGTTTATATTAATAATAATAATCATAAGTATCATATTACGATCGGTGGGGATTGTCCATCGGTCATTAGCAAGTAGACAATTTTATATGTACGTCAGTTCGTTTTATACTTTTCACAATAAAAGACTATAATATACGTTTGTGTTATTATTCATATTAACAATACACAACAGAAACAACAATTCAAATGGTATTTTGAACGTGAAAATAATTTTAAATTGCATTATGATGAACTGTTAAAATATGAGCAAAGTGATATTGAGTTAATTTCAAATTTTGTGCAAGGTAAATTATGGAAAGAAAATATAACATTAGGTATATGAGGATAAAATAGTATTTCCATACTTCTTATATGTGGATGAATTTGAAGTAAATAACCCCCTAGGCTCACATGCAAATGTTCAATCAATTGCTGCTGTATATTATAACTTTCCGCTTGCTACAAATAATTCTAAGCTCTCAAGTATTTTTTTAGCAGCACTAATAAAATCAATTGATATTAAAGAGTTTGGAAATGATAAATGTTTTAAAATTTCAATAAATTAATTAAATGAACTTGAAAACATTGGATTAAACATATCTACTGAACATGGCGATTTTCGTGTACATTTCCTACTTGGCCTGGTGTTAGGTGACAATTTAGGATTAAATAGTTTACTAGAATTCAGTAAGTCGTTTTCTGCAAACTATTATTGTAGATTTTGTAAAATCCATAAATCTATAGCAAATGAGCTTTATGAAGAAGATGCATCAGTTATGTGCAATATTCAAAATTATTCTGAAGATTTGGCTAAAATGTGTTTTATTATTACGTACAGCCCTTCAGGGATCCAAAAGCTGATATACTTTTATAATAAACAATAGTCAAATTAGAATAGTAATCAAATGTATTTTATTGAAACCAAATAAAATAAGCAGAGCAGTCGTGATAATTGTGTAGTTGAGTGAATTTCAGCTCGTTCTAGAATGATAATCTCCGTGTAATTGTGTGTGATGGCTGGCGGCTAAGCGAGTCGTATGTCCTTTGAAAGCGAGTGGCGTGTGTACAGTCGCCCTTGATATGATATGGAGTATGGACCTCACGAATAAGAGTGGTATTCTAGTCGTAAACACTTTGGGTGTGGTCATTGCTTGCCTTTCACATTCTTGGTTGTTTTTATGAACAAGTACATGAAATTACGTAATCCCATTACAATATTGTATTTGTACACTTCATTATGATGCAATATTAAACACAATTTAGGTATATTCCATTAACAACGTATAAGTTACTACAGCCAAGTTGAATACATGGAAACTGTATATAAAAGAGGTTATTGTTTAACAAAATTGATTGATGAAATGTGTTTGTTTGAAATTTCAGAGATAATAGTTGTAAATGATTATTCCAATATTTTTATAGTATCTAAACAAATCCAAATTTTAGACTTTCATGAACATTTTGAAGCTTTTGAAATTGATGAAAAAAAAGCAGTAATCAATGATTGTAAAATAAACAATATCAATGAATTTAGTGGTCCACCTATAAACATCATAAAAACTGCAACCGGAAAATTGATAATTCGCTTAAAGGAATTTTTTTCCTAATCTATAATAATTTTTTAACTATATTTTTGTACATACTAATTTTAAAGCTTATTTTTGATTATATTATTTTAACTTTAATTGCACAGAAGCTTGCTGCTGATGCTTCTTTTAATGCTTAGTGTATAGCACTATAATTTCTGTAAACATAATTTGTTTATACTCATCATAAAACCTGCATCAAGAAAATTGATGATTCGCTCAAAGGAATTTTATCATAATCTATAATAATTCTTTAATTACCTATATTTTTGTACATATTAATTTTAAAGTTTATTTTTGATTATATTATTTTAACTTTAATTACACAGGTGCTTGCTGTTGACGCTTCTTTTAGTGCTTAGTGTATAGCATTAGTGTTAGACTTAAGCTATGGCAGACCAAACCAACGAGGTTATGGAAGATAATAGTGCTTATAATATTCTAACACCTGATGATAAAATTGAAAATAACATTGTAATTGAAGTTAAGAGGCCGTTCTGGTACGAAAATTCGGCATTAAAAACATGGTTTCGTACTTCCCATTTTCCTCAGCTCTCGTTAGTCGTAGAAACATGATTTTTTCACCAAAATAAACGTGAGAAGTTTATCTAGGTTTTGTTGTTCCAGATTTTCGAATTTTTTTTTCAAACCGATTATATTTGCATTTGAAATTTTCAAAATTTTCAAAATTTTTAAAAAATCATAAAATAGACAAAAAAAGATATCTAAAATCTGGAACAACAAAACCTAGATAAACTTCTCACGTTTATTTTGGTGAACAAATCATGTTTCTACGACTAACGAGAGCTGAGGAAAATGGGAAGTAAAAAATCATGTTTTCGGTAAGAAAAACACGATTTTACAGCCGTCATGTGCTGCTCTACTGACACTAGTGGCAGCGTTCAAAAATAGTGTTCCTACCACTACCCCGCCCTCGACTGTAGCCATACCGCACCATAGTTCAAAACCAGATTTCTTATCGCGACCGGCCGGCTTGCCGTTTATAAATAATTGGTACGAAAACAATTATGTTGGTGACATAACTGTTTTCATAATACCCATATAGAATTTTATACTTCGTATATTATTATTATTCTGTTTTAATCTTGTAGAGAATTCAAGGAGAAAATTATTTTTTTTAACGTTGACTAATAAAATTTGAAATTTAATTCAGTATAACAAAAAAAAAAAAAACCTTAGTGCTTATTATTATGCTTGTGTGAGTTGAAATCTA